ACTACCGTCATACGTCCACCATGCCCAGCTAATTTTTAAAAAAATTTATAACACTACACATACAGCACACACACACAATATATATTAGTTGTCCAGCTAATTTCTTTATATTTTTTTAGTAGAGACGGGTTCTCATCATGCTCAGGCTGGTCTCGAACTCCTGAGCTCAAATGATCCACCTGCCTTGGCCTCCCAGAGTGCTAGTATTACAGGCATGAGCCACCACACCCAGCCCCATTTTTGTTCTTATGGAAACTTTGTAGGCATGGTTGAAATATGGAAAACCATGTCAAAATGTGGATGGAAAAAGAGATTTGATCTAAACCTGACAAGGCCTGTCTGTTCAGATTCTTCTTGGCCTCTATGTGTAGCATTCCTTCCTCCAGGGTGGGGGGGAGACCCTCTTGGAATCAGGATCTTATGACCACAATCCAAGAGCAGGGGAAATTAGAGTCCTGCCTTGCAAAGGTGAAAAGAAGGCAGGAGAAGGTCAGAGAGAGAGATCCTGTTTCCTGAGGGTTGCCTCTGAGGACTAAAGTGCCCCAACATTATAACAAATGACTGTTACAAGGCCCATTGGGAGTTACGAACCAGGAACTGTGGATGCACACACAACACACGCATACACACACAAATATATCATATCACAAAACTATATTGCATTTTCTATAGTATGCTTTTAATTTTATGAAGATAATTTGTGGATATTTTCTAAATGTCACCTTTTATTTCACAGAACAAACACTATTTCTAATATTATGCTTTCTATACATTCATTATGTCCATCTTGGTATACCAAATCAATTTTTTAGTATCTCATAATATTTTATGGGAAACTTTGCTCATTTCTTGCAGTTCATGGATTTTACTGTTGTTTATATCACCTGTATTTTCTGCAATATTCCTGAAGTTCTGGAATTACATTCTTGAGTTAACATATGAGGACTCCCCCACCCCTTTTTTCCATGTGAATTTCCTGTAATGTTCGCCTGGTCCCTGGTGACCCACAGCCTGGTGCTGTCCTGTTGTTCTCTGGCTCTTACTTGCTGCTTTTGTTGCTGATGACCTCATCTGTGGGTGTCCACACCACTGCCAGGAAAT